CTCATTTAAGTCTTAAAATATATGCAAAAACATAGACCAAAACCAAGTATAAGAACACTTTAAGAGGTGGGAACCTTTATGGGGAATATAACCAAGACGAAAATGCATACATTGCGCAAAAATGAAAAAATAATGTAAAAAAATAGATAATAAAATATATATTAAAAAAAGAACACTTTGAACTCCGTTTGTATGGCAGAATTCACTTTCATCTGGAGATGTTTTAATGTTCCTAAGTTCAAGGTCCCAGGACCCTTCAAAGAGGACAGGAACAGCCAAGTACCTACCAGGAGGGAGAAGGCTGCGGGGAAGGAACGAGGAGGTGGGAGGGGCAGGAATGGAGGAGACGTGCACCGTTCGCACAGGGCTGGTGAGGGCAGAGGGGTGCCTGACATAAGGCATCGTTCATGTTATACGTCTCATTATATTTGAAATTTTTCAAATAAGATGGGAGACAGAAAAGAATTCCTTTCGTATTTCAGGGGGATATTTGCAGGTAGGTATCAAGTACAGTTAAAGGTCAAAAAAAACAACTGGAAGTCATTAAGGAGGTAGTAACCAATAACCACCCTTGTTTCCAGTGACAAGGATAAGGGAACTGAAGCCCTGGGCACAGTGACAGCCCCCAGGGTGACAGAGAAGCAAAGTTCAGATCAACCCAGGTGATGACAACTAGGTAATGATGACAGTACTTAATTTTTCTTAGGAGTGTGTATTTCTTAAGTACCTGCGCCACCTCTAAGGAAAAAAAAAATCCTTTTAAATAGCATGTATAATGTAATAAGGGGCTTTGTTAATAACTATTTATTTAAAAAGGTATATACAGTCTATTCATCAAGAGGCAAGTAAAATAGGAAAGTAAAAAAACATGGATAAAGTTTGTATCAAAAGGAAGGGCATTATGGGCCTCCCCTGGTGGCACAGCGGTTGAGCGCTGGGCTGCGAAGCTGCCCGATGCCTCGGCAGCACTGGTTCGATCCCTGGCCACCGGCGAGGGTCCCACGTGGCGAGCAGACCTCTCCTGCCACGTGCGCCCACTGCTCCCCTCAGCAGTGTACTTCGTCAGTCTGTCTGTTCTGTTCCTCGCTCTGGTGAATCCTCTCACCCTCCCGCGCTTCTGACTGTACCCAGTGCTTGTATAAACAAATAAATCTTAAAAAAAAAAAAAAAAAGGAAGGGAATTATATCAAAGGGAAGGGAGTTATATTAAAATCTCAAGAGAATTTAAGGTATATACTGGGAAAGCAGCACTCTTAAAACAGGAGGGCCCAGAATGAGTTTAGACCTCTCTCTCCAGGTAAATTCAGACCACTTAACTATTAAATGAAGGAATGAGAAAATATGGCCCACAATATGCTGAAGGGGAGAGAAGGAAAAGTTCGAGTCATAAACATTTTCATTTTTGAAAAAGCAAAGTCAAAATGAAAATATCCAATTTGCATGTACAAAATACACTCGGTGTGGTCTTCCATCTACAGGGAGTTACCCGACGGAACATTTGATTTTGATTTGTAGTTTGCTTAAGTCACATGTAAGTTCCAAAATGCCCAGTTTCCCACGCGTGCCTCTATTAATGAACTACCTAGAAGTTTCATACTGACTTTGCCTCGGCAAAATTAAATATCCCATGAAGGTTGTGTTTTATTAGCCAAGGGCTTAAACTTCCTTTAAAATATCCTGAGTTCTCAGAACTTAGATCTAAGCATAATCCCACAAACCCGTCACAAAGAGACAAGAAGTCCTGCTCTTCAATGTGCTGATTTCCCAGCTTTTTGACCATCCACTGAGAGACAACGGGAACAGTAAACAGTAGGGCAGTAAGAAGCCATTATAAAGCAGGGCACTAACCTAACAGATCACTCTGCAGGATCCTTTAATTCCAAAGCGCCTGCTCAGAGGAAAATCAATGCCTGCTCGTTCTATTCCTCAGCCCCCGTGGGACGCCACAGGGAGCTGGCCGCCCAGGCACTTCCTCAGGAAGTGGAAAGACAAACACACACACACACACACACACACACCAGCTAGGCACGGTGTCTAGCATTCAGAGAGGGGCTAGCTTTTGAAGAGGACAGTTCACCTCCGTTAGCAGTGCCAGTGATTCCCCGTGACGGACACTGCTGGGTCCCAGCCAGGGAAGCTGCATGATCCCTGGTGTCTCCGTGGAGGCCTGCATGGGAGGTCAAAGCCCAGGGCTGCCACCACTGCCCTGCAGCTTTCCTACCACAGCCGTCTCTTCTCCCATCAGAACATTTCACCCACCCAAAGCGCAGGAGACCCTGGGTGCTGGATCACCCTGTGACTAAACCAGCCTCAAACATACCCAAATTAAGCAACTCCAGTCAATCCACATGACCAGTGTTTTCTTTTTCTCACAAGAGTCAAAAATAGAATGGTGCTGACTTGCTGTGAGTTTTAAGCTTCTCCAACAGTGGAATATCTACTTACTGAACACACAAAGCTTCCCAAAATACCTGTCTCATGTTTTTCTTTAGAAAGCAGAATGTACATTGAAAGGCAGGACTGCCCTCGGGTTAGCACTTCAAAATGATGGCTCTGATAGGAAAACTCAACCACAGAAACTAGAGTTTACTCAACACCAAACCACTGCACGCAGACCTGCACAGCTGGGTCACAGACCTGCACAGCTGGCCAAGCTCTGCCAGAAGTCCCCTTGGCCTGCGATGGTGTCACGGAGTAAGTCACCTAACCCAGCCACCAGAATTCAGTCCTCCCCAGAGGTCTCCTTCCCTTCACCACCAGGAATGCCTTTAGGGACCAGGTAATATACCTGCGCTGACCCTCTCCACAGGTACCTAGTGTGTGGTAAGAGAAAGGGAGCGCAGGGTAATGGCCTACACCCTAGTGCCCACTGAGCTCATGAGCTAATAAAAGAAAACCTTCAGCTAAGGAGATTAAGGGATTCTCTCTGTCCAACAACACAGCCTCAACCAACAAATACTTACAGTTCAGAAAAACATCTGCTCTTTCCTTAGTCGTTCCCAAAGAAAAATGGGCCAGGATCCTACTCTATCTAGACATGTTGATGATCTGAGGGTACATGAGTAATGATTTTAACAAAAGAAAATCTTCCGATGTGACGAGCAAATGTAGAAAACTGTTTGGTACAGTTATCTGCAATACTGGAAAATATGTAAATAACCATCAACAGGGAAAAGACTGTGTTAAATCTTTCAATTGTGGTAAAATACACATAACATAGAATTTACTATCTTAACCACCCCCCCATCTTAACCATTTTTAAGTATACAGTTTAGCAATGTTAATCATACTCATGTTGTTCATGGTACAACCTTTTTTATGAAGTACTATGCAGTCATTAAAAGTGAAGTACTGCCATTACAGATAATGACACAGAATAAAGATATACCATCTAGTGAAAATAAGTCGTAAAACAATACATAAACTACATCAAAATTAAAGAGGAAAAATAAGCATATCACATTTTTGTACATGCATAGATATGTAAGATGTGTAAAATGCATTGATATGTAAGATTCATAGGACGACTTAGAAGGATGCACAATACAGACTTTGGACATCTGAATCAACAAAGGGCAGGAGAAAAATGTTTTTCAAAATTCATCCACTTGAGCGTAGACTTGCATTTTCTCTTTTTTGTGTAGAAGAACCGGTGCATAGGCCAGAGGTGTGGGGGTGAGAGGATTCACCAGAGACAAAGTGGGGAGCAGAACAGGCAAACTGACTGAAATACACTGCAGAGGGGAGCAGCGGGCAAGACAGGAGAGGTCTGCTACACCATATGTGGGTTCACTCCCTGCTTGGGAATTGAACTTAGGCCATAGTGGTGATAGAGCTGAGATTTAACCCCTAGGCCACCAGGAAGGCCCCATTTTCAAAAATCTCACATCTACAGAAAATTAAATGGGAGTTTACATTTCCCAGGAAGTTAGAGATAGCCAAAATCATCGATCTTGGCAATTCTGTCAAAGGTACTTTTGCACAAGTCTTCTTCTCATTGGACATACATTCTTTTCACTAAAAGACACTTCTGGGCCTCTCCTGGTGGCGCAGCTGCCCGCGTCTTCTGCAGCACCGGTTCGATCCCCAGCTGCTGGCGAGGGTCCCACATGGTGCCATGGTACGCAGACCTCTCCTGCTGCCCACTGCTCCCCTCAGCGGTGTGCTTTGGTCCTTCTGCCTGTTCTGCTCCCCGCTCTGGTAAATTCTCTCACCCTCCCACGCTTCTGACTGTACCCAGTGCTTGTATAAAATAAATAAATAAATCTTTAAAAAAAAAAAAAGACACTTCTGTTGGCAATTTACTAATTCATCAATGAGTTTATAGATATTGGAAAGGTCTGGCCTGAACCTGTCACCATTAATAAACTTCAGGAAAATTCATCACAGTCTCTGCTTGAAGTGGATTATTCACAGCTTCACACTGAGAAAGCACTGGGGAAAATTACAAATGTCTTCACTGTTGACTATAAACTGCCTTTTTTTTTTTAAGGAGGCATGTTTGATGATTTCTAGTATTTCAAAACTAAGAAATCACTTACTTGTCCATTTAAGTACTAAAAACAAAAGATTCCTAGTTTAGGAGTAAAATTCATGAAGCATTCCTTTGGCATTTTATAAATACCATGCATTTAAGTAGCAGCTCAACAATTCTAGCTTGAAGCAAAGTATAGATCTGCTAAGTGAGAAGTGATATTTTGAGGATAGAAAAAAGAACTTCAAAGTAATTTTCCCTTGTCACCTGAGTAAGCCTTCTAAAATTATTCGCTGAAATCCTAAATCCCACACAGAATCCTTTGTCCTTGAAATGCCCCAATCTATATAGCTGTTTATTCTCGTTCATTTAACAGCTTTTTTTTTTTTTAATACAATACTTAAAATATTTGCAAACCTCTTTGAGGCTTCCAGGATTAGGAGACATGTAAGAAAAAACTAGTAGTTTGAAGGATCTCGCACTTCTTGGAGGGTTTACAGTTCAATGATGCATCTTTGTGGAACAGGTCCGTCCGTCTTCGGAGAATGTTCACTATACCCAAAGCTCTGAAGTCTTGTTTTTGCTGCAAGGCGTTAAGTCAGTGGCCCTCACCAGGGGAGACTTTGCTCCACCACCACTTCCACAGGTATCTAGCCATATCCAGCAGCACTTCTGGTTTCCACTCTCGGGAGGTGAGGGGAGCTACTGACACATAATGGAGTGAGCGGGGGCCAAGGGCGCTGCTAAACATCCTCTAATGCATGGGACAGCCCCGATAACACAGTTACTTAGCCCCAAAGGTCAGTAGTGCTGAAGCTCTAGAAGCCTGTTCTAACGGAAAAGACTTTCCCCATTACCACTCTGCTCTCCCCCGACCAGACCCAACCCTCCTAAAACCACCATGAACCTGTTGCCCCGTCATCCACACCAGAGCCTCCTCCTTGCGTGGAGATCAGCAAGCCGCGGCTCCAGCCTGCCCCTGCCCCTTTCCTCTCCCACCAGCTGAGGAAGGGTGTGGACACATGGGTTTCCTGCATGGCTATCCCAGCTGTTCTGATATCCCCAAAACATGCCATTGGCTAATCATTAAGCAATTCTCACTAGAAGACCAAATTCACTTAGAACATTTTTGAAATTATGAAATGTAGTACTTTCAGCTATAAACTATGCCTGAGAACACGCCCCCGAGCCATCATTCCCAGCATGCCTACTGGCCGTTGACTTTAAAAATAAACTCATTTAACAACTCTCTTCCGGGAAGAGGCAGAAAACAGAACACCACAAAGAGAATTGATTACATCATTTCTTCAGTTGCTACGCTGTGTTAAAAGGAGAACATGGAGCAGGCTTCCTCCATGCTCCTGGCAGGGCCATCTCTCATTCTGTGCTCATTTCATCAAAAACATCAAATAGCCTGGAATAAGGTTCACCCAGGAATGCTCCTCCAGTAACTAAACTGTTCACCAAAAAGGGTCAAGAAGAGACTCAAAAGTCTAAGAATGAAGGAAACCTAAGGCGCACACACACGCGCGCACACACACACCCCCCTTTTTTTCTCGAGATTTCCCTGGACTTTCCATGCTGGTATTAACTGGGATCCAGAGCGAGAAGCATTACCCAAGCTTATTTGATGCTCGATGCTTTCCAGATGAGACATCTTTGGGACCTACTTGAAACAAGGTTTAAGAAGTCATTTCCCTTGGGAACTAGGGAACCGGAGTACATTCTGGAGCAGAGTATGGGGGAGATGCCGCCTGCCCAATTTTCCCCACGTTTTTCATAGGAGGGCCCCTCCAGGGGCATCCCTGGCTAATCCCAAGACAAAGAACAAGTGAGTCTCACACACACACACACACACACACACACACACACAGTGACTCTCCAAAAAGGGGCAATAAAAAGGGACTTTTAAAGGGACTCTGCCTTAAAATTAATGTCACAGACATAATTATTATGATGTCATTTGGCTGGATCTTGAGGTATTGCCAAAATAAAGCTATGTGTTGTCAAATGCACACACACAGAGGCACACATGTATCTAGCAAAGGGAAGAAAAGGGAACCAGGTATCTCCTAATGCTTACCTACTCTCAGTGGCATCAGTCTAACTAACAGAGCAAGCAAGAAATAGCTCTTGATCTTGACAGTGGGAGAAATACTGGTTGACCCAGAAGCAGTGGCTCTGAACCTCAAAGATATTTGAACCTGTCACTAATAAGCTATAGAAATGACACCTCAAAACCACAGCACAGTTGTGGTTAAAAGCGCGGCCGCGGTCTCTGGAGCAAGACAAAGTAGAGCGTCCTGGCTCTTCCCTTTAAGAGTTACAAGATTCTGAAGAAGTTACTTCTTCAAGCTTCTGTTTTCTTGAGTATAAAATGGAGATAGTGAGTCCTACCTCACAGAGTTGCTATGCAGATTAAATAAAACAATCTAGGTGGGTGCTTACTATGGTACCCGGGATGTCGTACATTCTTACTAATGTGAGCTCTTCTAACACCAAAACAAGGTCAGCGACGGGCCTCCAGCATAGAGAAAACATTAGGAGAAATGCAGCTACAACCGTGATGCTCCCAAATAAGCAATGACGACAAAACAGAAGCCACCAGAATTCCCAATGATGACACGAGACAGGGCGTCCTCAAGTGCCTCCTGCAGAAAGGCAGCCCAGCAAGGTATTCTAAGAAGCACAACAGATGCAGAACAAATTTTTCCTATCCTCAACCACCTGAAATTCGAGCACTGTGTAACCCAAGAAGTTACAGCTAAATCTAAAACTCCAGCTGAGGTCAAAAGTATCCTAACTCTCAATGAGGAAAAGAAATGTTCACTCTATGAGTCACCTGTATCAAAACCGTTAAAGCCTACTTATCGTTACTCAAGGGCTAAGCTATGTGTTTAGTCTACTCCAAAAGAAACACTGGCCAGATGAACCAGTCTTGTATTTTGCTAAACAGATACATTCCAAACACCTCTCACATGCGTACCTACCTACAACATAGGAGAGGCTCACGTATTCACCTCTGACCCCATGCTAAACAACCCAAAATTCCCTCCAGTCATTTAGCCAAATTTCGTACCTCCAGGGTCTTGGTCCAACTCATTACTCAATCAGCTTGGCTATGCATTCATGGAGCAAACACTGAAAGCAAAACACACTGTGGTTTTGTTTTTGAGCAAAGGGAAAACAGAGGAAAGACTCAACTGCTCCACTCGCAAGCTCATACCCCTGCCTCCTGTACTGAAGGACAGGGTATGGACCAGAACTTCGGGGCAGAAGGACACAGGTATGACTATCAACTCCAACACTGGCGGCAGCTCAGCCCCAGCCCATTCATAATCTCTCAGAACCTCAAGTTCCTAAAGCAGAAAATGAGATGAGCCCACCCACTTGTCAGGGCTACTGTGAGACCTAATTACGTAGCCTCCAAACAGACGCAGCTCCCCCGCCACACTTCCCTGATGACCCGTCACTGTTGGCTCATCTTCCTGTGACGCGTTTCCGTCACTCCAGGCTCAGCATCTCTATCGTAGGCAGAAGGGGATGCTCAGTGTCCCCTGCACGCGTCTCTTCCCATGCCAAAGCCGAAGCTTTCCCTAAACGTTCTCCTTGAATCATCTTCCTCTTTTTGGCTAACTTTTTTTTTTTAAGATTTATTTTATTTATTTATGCATACAAGAACTTTGGTGCAGGCCAGAGGGGCTAGCAGGTGAGAGGACTCACCAGAGACAGAGCGGGGAACAGGACAGGCAGACTGACTGAAATACACTGCTGAGGGGAACAGTGGGTGAGACAGGAGAGGTCTGCTGCGCCATGTGGGTAGCTCCCTGACTGGGGATCGAACTCGTGCTGTGGTGGCTGTGGAAAGCTTCATAGGTTGCATCTTAACCCCTTGCACCAACAGGGAGGCCCCAAAACCCAGTTTTATACTCACAGCTCAGCGGCATCATCATGCTATGCTGGTGTAATAGGTACATGTGGCTACTGGGCAGAGCAGTTCTAGACAGTTATTCCCAGGCCTCTTTCATCTTTTCTCCACTCAGTGTGCAATCACCGCCGAATCCCAGGGTGCACAACATGAACATCTGATCACTGTCAAGTTTGAGAAAGTGCCAGGGGCAAGGGACAGAACAGAGGCATTTGCTAACCTGCCACCTTTTCACAAACAAGCTTTTAAAAGAAGCAGACAGGGCCTCCCTGGTGGCGCAGCGGTTGAGCGCTGGGTTGTGAAGCTGCCCGCAGCCTTTGCAGCACCGGTTCGATCCCCGGCTGCTCCCCGACCACCGGAGGAGGGTCCCACATGGCGCGCAGACCTCTCCTGCGGCCCGCTGCTCCCCTCAGCAGTGTACTTCGGTCCTTCTGCCTGCTCTGCTCCCCGCTCTGGCTCTGGTGAATTCTCTCACCCTCCCGCACTTCTGACTGACCCAGTGCTTGCATAAATAAATAAAATAAATAAATAAATCCTAAAAATAAATAAATAAATAAATAAATAAATAAATAAAAGAAGCAGACAAACTCCCATCAACATAAATGACACCAAAAGACAGACAATCTAGACTAGAGCCCCTCACTGACTGGGCTGAATTTTTCTAAGAGCACAGAGGTAGTTGAAATACAGAATTGTAACTAAAACTTCATTCATTCAAAATTTTGCAACTCTAAATTAGAGTACAGATAGGAACAAGTACTCTGCCCTCTTGCCTATATTTCACCCACTTTTAGCTAGATCTAGGATATCTGTAACTAAAGACCTTTAGGCAGGAGACACTCATTTGTGTTTTTATGGCACACACACACACACAAACACTCTTACTTATAAATGTAGTAAGGTACGAAAGGAGAAACACCCTTCAAGACAAAGGCTCTTCCCCCAAAAACAGAGGAACACAGAAGAGTTAAGATTTTAGGAGTGGGCCTCCCCGGTGGCGCAGCGGTTGAGCGCTGGGTTGGAAGCTGCCCGCAGCTGGTTCGATTCCCGGCTGCTCCCAGGCCACCGGAGGGTCCCACATGGCACGTGTACCTCTCCTGCCACCCGCTGCTCCCCTCAGCAGTGTACTTCTTCAGTCTGCCTGCTCTGCTCTCCCCTCTGGCTCTGGTGAATTCTCTCACCTTCCCGCGCTTCTGACTGTACCCAGTGCTTGTATAAATAAATAAAAAATAAATAAAAATAAAAATAAGTCCAAAATGTAAATGCAATTTAAAAAAAAAAAAATTTTAGGAGAACTTACCCAGTAAGTTAGGTATTTTATATGCATAGAATCTGCCTAACAACTTTCAGGACAAGTATGACCATGTTACTTCAACTGAAAAAAAAAAAAAAAAGAAATGCATGGCTGAGAATGTAAGTAACTTGCTCAAGGCCCCACAACTAGTCCAAGAAATCCCAGGTGCTTAGCACAGAGGGCTGGGCCAAAAGGCAGGTCACCTCGAGAGACAAAGACAACTGAAATTCTACATGACCTTACCCCCCAGATTTAGCCAGATCACTAAACACAATCAATTCTCAAGCTAGAGACCTCAAACTACTTCTCCCATTCTTGCTAGGTTAAATTAGCAAAACTGTTGAGGACAAGCTAACCAATGAATGCCTGTGTCAGACTTAAATTTGAGTAATAGGTATTTCAGGCTCATGGGATGTAAGCATTATAAACAGATGCCGGCTTACATACCATCAAAACATGATAAATTCTGCATGGCAGATAAAGTAAGATGACCAGTCTTGGACTAGGCGGCCAGACGAACTAGTAAGTTCAATAAGTCTTTCAAAAATCGAATTCTTACTATTCAGATCCCTAGAAAGAATTTGGTCTCCACAAAGAAAATTATCAAAATCAATATCCATTACTATACCCATGAGTCTGCCTTTGAAATGCTGGGGTTATATCCCAAAAAGAAAGGGCTGAGTTGGGAAAACATTCAAGAGCCACTTTATCTACCAGCCTCTATGAGTCCTTCAGCGAATCCTGGAACCTCTAATGACGTAAAGTTACAGTAATATAGACTGAAGGGTAGGGGTTCAGTGGTACAGGAGTTAAAGTCTCAGTTGCTATCAAGCTATCGCCAGCCACCGCAGCCTGCACTGGGCCTGGGAGCTAACCCACATGGCACAGAGGACCTCTGTTTCACCTGCTGCTCCCCTCAGCAGTGTATTTTAGTAAATCTGCCTGTTCTGCTCCCCACTCTCTATCTGGTGAAACCTCTGGCCTATAGCCCAGGGCTTGTATGCGTAAATAGTCTTAGAAAAGAAAGAAGAAAAAAAAAACTGCATTTGAGGGCTCCAAAGGCCATCCACCACAGACTACTTAGTAGGGAATACCTGGGACAGCAAAAAAGGCCTCTGTGAATTTGTCTAAAAATGACTTATATCAGTTTCCAGATTTAGATTAAGCGGGATCTGCTCGCCTCTCATTCTGAAACAGACAGAATTCAGAACTTCCTGTCTGGAGATCATTCACTGAGTTTTTTAAACTAACTGTTTATTTATTGTTGGAAAAAAAAAAGATTTTTCTCAACACCACTTTCAAGCAACTTTGATTTTTGCATCCTTTTCAAAGAAATGAAAGAAAAATATGTCTCTGCTCCTTCTCCCTGCCAACTAGTATCCTCACCCAGGTCCAGTAAAAACGTTTCAAGTCCTTTCAACATGCTATTTTTCTAGCACTGTCTCCCTGCAGATACAGATTCTCTGATCTCCCCATTGACTTCAGTCAGGGAAAGCTGGTTAATTACAGGAGTTCCTCACTACACTACCTCAAAGAGGAGATACATATTCTCAACCTCAACTTTGCCCCATCCAACCTAAACATCACCAGGGCCGCACAGCTGTGCCCTGCCTCTGGCCTCTCCACCTAATCTCCACACCCTGAGATACTTTCCAAGGTCTCCAGGTGCCTCTTTCAAGGGAGAAGAGCCTGGGGCTAAGGTAAATGCTTCGCATTCTCCTCCACTGCCATTTGTGAGCTGCCAGATTTTGGCTGGGGTCTCAGGTTCTCCACCTGCACCAGGGGATAACAGTGTAACAGTTCAGGGCCTCCCTGGTGGGCAATGGGTTAAGTAAAGCCCTATGAAGCTATCCATAGCCTCTGCAGCACGAGTTCAATCCCCAGCCGGCCAGAGAACTGACCCCCATGGCGCAGCAGACCTCTCCTGTCTCGCCCGCTGCTCCCCTCAGCAGTGTATTTCAGTAGATCCACCTGTTCTGCTCCCCCACTCTGTCTCTGGTGAATCCTCTCAAAGCCCGCACCTCTGGCCTATACCCCAGTTCTTATATGCATAATTAAATCTTTTTAAAAAACTAAAAAAAACATGCAACAGCCATGTGACTGTCTTAGCATCACATGAGCCAACACAAGGGCCACCACCCAGGACTGGTGGGCTTGCAGGGGGTAACTGAAGACCATTTCTGCCTTTCTGCAAGTGTTTTGTCCTCCAACTTTCTGAAGCAGGCCACCCAAGTTCTTCAGCACCACCCTCTTCATTTATGGTGTTTACTATATAAACCATGGTCCTAGAGAATCTCAAACTCAAGCTTTTTATGTCTTCCGTCATCTCTGTTCTATTCTAATTCCTCCCAATGTAGAGCTGGAGCCCAAACAGAGCCCAGAGAACACCTCCAGGGGCAAGTGAACCCAAGCTTGAACTCATCTACCAAGTCCTTCTACACTCACCCTCCAGCCCTAGTCTAGTCTCTGAATCCAGACTCTCGGAGCAGGAACAAGCACTGGCAGGCAACTTCAGTGAGCAACCTGCGAGGAGTCTGTGTTCCTCCCTCTCTCATCACGCACACCTGATCGGATGCCACTCCCAAAACCCTACCGTGCCACTGCCACTGCCACACTCCCGGTCAAGTCCTGGAGTGTGGGGGATCTCTCCTGGAATGTGGGGGATCCCCTCATCTGACGTCCCTGCCTTCAGCCTGAACAGTCTCCATCCCATCCTCATGGAAATGCCCACAGGACCTTGTCACAGGTCCTTGCCAATGGCCTTAGACCTGCCACAGCTTCAGGCCTACACAAGAAGTCTGCCCTTAATTGACTGTAGCACCCCGAGAAGGCTGGTTCTTAACCGCCTTCTAGACTCATCTTCTAAGCTCCCACATCCACCCCCACTCTCAACACTCAGCTCTTTCAGTGCCTGGCCACACACTGCTCCACTGGACTCTCGTGCTCTTCCCCTGAGCCTCTGCCTGCCTTACATCATCTCACTGATCTTTTATGGTTCAGCTCAGAAGCCATCTCGTCAAGGGCTCCTCCCTCGACATTAGGCATCAGGGGAACCCTTGACATTCCTATCATAGCATCTGCAGGCTACTTCCCACTGTAGTTTTCTCTCTGGACTCCTTTTCCCTTTGCAGTCCCAGCGCCTAACACAAAGGCTGGTGCTTACTAAACACGAATGCAATAATCCCCAAATTAACACTGCTCCCTACTCTCTCTCTCTCTCAGGTCACTTCCCTCTACATCATATCAGCTCCGTCTATTTTTCCTTCCTGAACTTGAAGCTATTTTGTCCTCTTAAAAAAAAATTATGCTTCCAAAACCTCTCTACTTCATAGCTTTATCACTGCTTAAATACTTTTACTTCCTGAAGAGACATCAAAGCTGAATAATAACTTCAAATATTAACACAACACCAATATTTTGGCAGCCCATAAATCAGACAAATCACAATTAATAAGCTGTTTGTGCAACTAAGATTTCAACAAAGATTTTTGGTACCACTTTCCAAAATTTAGATTCTATTACTGTTTGGTGTTTCATTGAACCTGAAGACAAATGTAAGAATTAAACTGCCAACTGTTTCTGAAGAAATTAAAAATAATTGCTATAGGAAAAGGCGGCTATTTTACCACTTGCAGTTTTTTGTTTCCACATTTGGCTAATTCTGATTGGTTCTGGGCTATAAAGCATGTCATCCATCAGCGAGAGTTCTCATCACCATCATCTCATGTGTCTCCAGATAACATTCCCCATAGTCTTCATTGCAGAAGAGAAAGCTACATCTTTTTTGTGAGCTCTAACAAGCTAAATTTATTTTTGTTCAAACTCCTAATTCCTATGTACTTCCCATATGACCCACGCACCCACCCCAAGTACTTACAAAAGAAACACTAAAAAAATATATTTAGACAAAAACCTGTATGCAAATATTTGTAGCAACCTGAGTCACAATCACCAAAAATCGCAAACGAACCTAATTGTCCTTCCATATGTGAAGGGATAAGCAAGCTGTGGTACATCCATACAGCAGGCTGCAACGCCACAACACAACCCAGCCAGCGTCACATACACAATACAGATGAGCCTCCATGAGTGAAAGAAGTCATTGGCCTGACATTCTAGAACAAACGTAAGGACACAACGTATCAGTGGCTACTGGGGCTTGGGGTGGGAAAGAATCTGCCTGCAAAGGGACAGCTGGAAGAAAGACTGGGCGGCAATGGAACTACTTACTCCATCGACTGCGGTGACAGATACCCATGAATACCTGTCTAAAGCTGTACGCCCCAGAGCACATTTTACTGCATGTGAGTTTAAATCCAAAAAAGTTAATTATTTAACCACAATTTGGTTAAAGATCATCCCCCAAATACAATTAACACAAAGGTGTGGGCTTCTTTAATGTTTGCTCTATCTGTTGTTACTGTTTTCTTGCTATTGTATTGCACTGATTAGGATGAAATGTCAAGGTGATGAGGAGAGAGGAATCACGATCCTTTCCTAGACACTGTCAGTTCCCTTGCACTGGCCACCTCTGTCAAGACCACCTCTGCCCAGCCAGGAATAGCTGGGTGGAGTTCTCTCAAGGATACAGGGAAGATGACTCAAAACCAAAGGGAGGCAGATTGTATGCCACAGCAAGGCACGAAAGCACTTCGTGGGAAGGAAGAAAAAGGGCTGGGAGACCATAAGTCCTAAAATTCTAACTCATCCTAATTAAAGAAAACTTTTGCATATTGGCTGCCTCCTTCCTCCACCCTCATTTAAAAAAGAAAGGAGGAAAGAAAGATTCAAGGTGGAGGAGAGCAAGGAAAAGCACTTTGTAACAAAAGAAGGGGAAAGAGGGAGCAAGAGCCTTCCTGAACCAGAGAGTTCTAAGAGCCCTGGATCCAATGTTCTCCAACATGGAAAAAATGATTCCGAGTAGGCACATGACAAAAACAAGCCAAGGTTTCCAGTGTACCCTCATCAGCCAGACCCACACATTCCTCCTCCAGAGGGGAGGGCCGCCTGCCTGTGGGCCCTGGAGGCTGCTGCAGGCAGTCCTGAGCAGGCCCTGGGCTCCAGGTGTGGCAGCCCCCCACAGCGACAAGAGCCCGAATTCCAGCTCCAAGTGTGGGTGCCACCCTACTCCCTCCTGTCTCTCCCAGGAAAGAAAATTCTGCTCCTTCCTCTTCTCTGTCACATTCACATTCCCCAAACCAGAAAACTCAGTTCCCCTCCCAGGAGACCTGGGCCTGCTGCATTGTTCTACCTCAGCACGAGATCGCCACCTGAGACAAACCTCCTTCCAAGATGAGCTCCTGATTGCGGCCCTGGAGAACCAGCTCTCCAACCTCAAACAGCATTTGCAGCTGGATAGGCTAGCCTAAATGCAAAACAAATGCTATTTTCCAGGAGCCTTCTGGGGGGAGGGGAGTAACAAAGCTGAAAAGCACAGAAAGCAAACCAGAACATTCTGTGACAGGCAATGCCCTCACAGAAAGGATTTTAAACATATCAAGAAATGTTCATTGCAAGGAGTTAGCTGCCCAAGTAGAATAAAAATCACCAACTTCCTAAGGACAGGAGTGAAGGGCTACATTATAAAACAGCTTATTGTAGTAAGCTAATTAAGGTTTATCATATTAGCCATCTGAGTTTTAGTTGGCACCAGAAAAGCAGGAGCAGCAGATCATGCAACATGCACTGGGATCTGCTTTGCAAGCAGATTTCAGCCACACTCAGACACAGAACCTCTGGCACTCAAAAATGATGTAGAATTGAAAACCAATTTTAGCACCGTGATTTGTAAAGAATTTGGTTCCATCGTGTAAGCTATTAACGGGTGTATCAGACCCAGATTACATTTCTCTCTATTAAAACACCACACGAAGTATTCTGAGCTAGCCACACACTCCTGCTTCTCTATTGCTAGTTTTATCACACACTGGATGCCATCCTCTGAAAAAATGTTCAACAATAAAAACCCTTGCATACTTGACACCCTTCGCCCACCAACTGCCAGCAGACAACTTAACCAGTTCCAAGATCCTCGGCATTTCTGAAAAGACATATTCTGCTGAATGCAGAGGAACAAAACATCCTTTTCAAAGTAGGGGAGAAATTTCTTTTCAATCATGTCTTCTCTGGGCTCCTCCTGAGTGCACTTTTCCCAAACCACAAGAGAGAACTAGTTCTATCTGCTGTGGAGATCACATTGGATATGATTCTGGAGCTGTTGGCTTCCTGTTTGGGGAAGCTGCAGCTCTATTCACAGGGAACCCCAGGGCAAAATGTTTAGTGTTCCCCTGGAAGCCTTGGCTGCCTTTGTTCTTTACTTTGTTACATTCTGTACAGCTTTCTTCTCTTTGCTCCTCTAAAACCTCTGGTTTGGGAGGATGCATAAAAATGCCAGCTCAAATGTAACTGCAATCTTGAAGGCATCAGACATTTTCTACATCCGCTGCTGTAAAGCTTTCGGTTAACAGGCATCTTCTCACAGAGAAAGGTTTCCTCCTGGTAGTGCATTAGTATTCCACATTAAAATGTATGCCACAAATAATCCAATGGCAAACTCACGGCCAACCACCCCCAAAATCAATACAAAGCCATTCCACCACTTGACTCAAGAGTGAAAAACCTTGTAGGTTAACACAGAGAGCAAGGTAAAAGAAAGGTGATGAATGAATAAAAGGCACATCTACCTTCAGACTCCTCAAATCCTAAAAGGTGGCCAGGCTGCCTCGATTTGGCGAGGTCCTTCCCTTTTCTGTAATCATCAGGAAAACGCTACATGTGTACTGCTTTAGTCTATGCAAAACAGTGCATTCTCCTCCACCAGGCCCTGCCGCCTACCACTCTCCACATTTGCTTCCTCCCAGGCCTGACTCTTCCAAATGCCTTCCACATCGATTCCAGAAAGTCATTCTGATTTCACTGGATAGCAGCAACACTATCATAAAGTCACTCTAATCCCATCAAACTTGGACCGCATGAAGAGTATTTCTTTACCACTCTGACCCCAACATTATCTGCAGGGTACCAAGCCACTGTCAGTCTGTGTCCAAATGGATCTTCAAATAAATATTTAAATTCATGCTCAAAATATTGTCTCTCACCTTGAGAACCTTGACCTGTTGGAAAGACTTTGGACCAGTGTTCAGTTTCTGCCACGCGGTTGCATTCTCTGCAAATATGAAAGGGTTAAAAGCAGCCCCAGTCAACAGGCCTACAAGGAAAAAAAAGACAGCATGTATGCCTCACTGCATCACTGAAACGCATTTCTGCTCATTTCCTAGAACAATTGTTACCTTTCGGCCTTCATAACAGTCAGAAGTATCCCCAACACCCTTTAGTAGCTTCTACAAGGAAAAGCACAAAACAGAACATACCCTGCAAGAGAAAAAAAAAAGCATGCAAAGTAGCATCCGCCAGCACCAACAACCATCAGAAATCCATCAGTTCATTTTGGTTTGGTTTTGTTAAAAACACAGAGAACGAGAGAGAGAGACTCTGCATAAACCAAGTGTCCCCACCCTAGCAAGGCACATTTTTTTCTTTAATAAGGGTCATAAATCTCAGCTCCTTGTCCATCCCTTAAGCAAAAAGAAAAAGGCAGGAAAAGCCCAAGTCATCTCAGACCTCGCAAACCTGCACATTTGTTTCCATCTTCTCTACCCAGAGTCTTTAAGGGCTCCATTAGTCACGTACCAGTGCTGTGTGGTGTCTAAGTGTGCATTCACATACTGTGTTGGGGTGGTACCTTCCTGCAAGCTCCTCTGCTTTTGGCTGCCATGAAGGGAGGAAGCTGCTATCCCACTGTAGTAGCTCAGTGACTGCATTGTGTTCAGGAGCTGATCTGCCTCAAACCAGTTTCAGCCGGTTCTGGTCACCCTACATAAAAAAGCTATGGCAACCCTCGCTGAGTTGCCAACAAGTCCCTGAAAATCATCAGCACAGGGGGCTCTCGCTGGGGGTTGCTCTTCCCTCTTAGGTCTTCGTGAGGAGGGGAAGGTCATCGTGTGTCCCCCCCACCGCCGCACGAGCAGACAGACAGCCTGGGGCAGGCTCGCCTCGCCAGCACCCCAGAGCCCCTCCAGGCCCATCCCCCCGCCCCTGCGCCCCGAAGCCCACCGCAGCCACTGTTTCCCCTCCTTCTCCTTCCCCCACTTACCTCCCACAACCTGGCTCAGATCTTTTGTGTACGTGTGTGTCAGTGTGTGTTCTCTGTGTTGGTGGCTGACAAAGAGCCCCCAGGAAAGCAATCTATGTGTGCTGCTCACACGGGCTGCGTCGGCTGCGGAGCCGGCCTGGCCTCCTGGCAGCGCGGGGCTGGCTTGTTGACCGGGCTCCTCGCAGCCTGTCCCCCCCACCCCCCAGCCCCCTCCTCCCGGCCCTCTGCTCGCTGCCGGCCCTGTCACCAGCCCCGCGGTCCCCCCAGTCTCCTCCTCCCACCTTCTCTTCTTTCAAGCACCTGGGGGAGCAGTCCAAATCCCTTCACCTCGGGGGAGAAGCCAGGGCTGTCTGGGGCGGGGTGCGGGGCAGGCGCAGGGGCAGGGAGACCGAGGGAGGCCGAGGGCCACCGAGGCCTGGGGGCGCTGCCCGGGGAGCAGCGGGGGCGGCGGCGGGCGCCGCGCTCACGTGCCCCCCTCTCGGCCCCGGCGGGGCCTAGCCCGGCCGGCGGGCGCTCGCCCCCCCAGGCGGCCGGCGGGGCGCGAAGGCCCGCGCTCCGGGGCCGGGGTGGGCCGGGCCGCGGCGGTCGGCCGGGCCCAGGGGCCTGAGCCTCACGCGCTCGCCCGCCCGGCCGGGGTGGCACGAGGGGCCGGCGCCCCCGCCGCGCCCGGCGCCCCCCCGCGCCCCTCGCGCCCCCCGCGCCCGGGCGCACACCCACCGCGGCCCGGGGCCGGCCTCGCCGCGGTCAAGCCCGCGCGCCTGGGCCGCGGCTCGGATGACCTTTGTTCAGCGCGGCGCCGCCGGCGGCTGCTGTGGTGGCTGCTGCTGCTGCGTCGCGGCGGCGGCGGCTTCCATGTTGCGGGCGTGTCGGCGGCGTCCCGCCGCCGGGGTCTGTGTGTGCGTGAGCGGCGGGGCGGCCTCGCCCCGCGCCGCCGCCGCCGCCCGCGCCCGCGGGCCCCGGGCCGCCCCGCCGCCGCCGCGGCCTCGCCGGCCGCCCGGCCCGGGCCCCGCGCCTCCCCGGGCGGCGCGCTCTAGGCCGCGCGGCGGCGGCGGCGGGCGGCCCGCCACGCCGGGGCCTAGCGCTGAGGTGCGGGCCGGCGGCGGCGGCGCGGCCCAGCGGCGAGCGAACAAAAGGGAGCGCGGGAGGGGGAGGGCGCCGGGGGGAGGGAGCCCTCGGAGAACGGTGCCGGGAGCGCGAGGCCCCGCAGCCGCGGGCGGGCGGGCGGGCGCCCGGCCGGAGCCCTCACGGCGGCGGCGGAGCGCGGCGCGGCCCCGCCGACCTGCCAAGTCTCGCCCATCCGGGGCCGCCGGCGGGCAGCGGCGCCCCACGGCGGGTGTGGACGGGCCGGGGCGCTGGGGGGCTGCGGGGAGCGCGGCCTGCTCTTCCAGCGGCCTGCGGGCGCGCGCCCAGTGCTGTCCGTGGCCCCGAGCCGCGACTTACTCGAGTGGAAGGAAGCAAGGCCTCGCCAAAGATGGTTGCAAAAGACCGTGAGCCTCTACCCAGGATCTTGAAGCCAAGCTGGTGTTTTGTTCTCCTCGTTATGGTGGCAAATAAGTCAGGAGAGAGCACGCTATCTGCAGAGAAATTAAATCTGAAATTCTCCCTGGAGGTGGAAGAAGGGACGCTCTGCTGTTTAGTTAGTGGTTTGGAGCCCTTTTCGCCTTAAACTGAGCCACAAAAGAATGGAAGGCACCCCCTGGGGTGGGGAGAAAGCCCTGGTGGAAAAGACACACGTTTTGCTCTCACAGAAGAAGCCACTGGGGCCAGATTGAAACATGGCATGTTCAGTTCATGGAGGTTTTTTTTTTTTTTTTTTTTTTAAATGGGGGAATGATATTGAGTAAACAAGATGTAATAGCTGGGTCTTTAAATTCAAGAAGGGAGAGATGGTGTGCAAATGTAACAAGCACGTATTGTACCTACAGCAGGTGGGCACAGCCTGCAGAACACAAAAAGATACATGCATAAGCCCCGTAGACCACAAAGGTGGATAATCGTTAACACATCGGAGAGGGAGATAATGTATCACCCCCGATCAGGTACGCTCTTTATCCAGCCCTGTCTGTCCCGGGTCCTGCAGGCTTCACAGACGTGCACGCACTTGAAAGGTTTTTTTTTAAACACACGAGCGAAACCCTCACGTCAAGCTAATTGTGCGTTCCCTGGAAATAGGGCAAAATGGAAGGATTTGAAAAAAATGTCACCATAACCTCTTAAGGAAGGCCGGTTCCCGTGCCCCTGGACGCTGAAGATTCTGGTTTTGCTGGAGAAGCAGGGTAGACTCCCAGTTTGGGAAGCGTTTCTCAAGGTGTATTATTTTGTGTTAGATGAGGTGGTTAATATTTACAAAGTGTGCTGAAAGTGTGTTTTTTGGTTTTTGTTTTTTTTTAATCTCACTATGCCTCTCCTTTGCATTAACTTCCTTCGAGGAAGTCATTGTTCTCTATTCTGGGGACACTGTGTGATGCAAATTGGAAGTAGCATTTTTGCCACTTAAGGTTTTTCATGTAAATGAACCGAATGATTGTCTCAGAGAAGAGCTGTTGCTCTTTAATTTCAAACAGCAGATTGTTAGGAGTTGCACTTAAACTGGGACACGTATTTACACGTGTTTAGGAAGACCTGTGTTAATCTGCCAATTTTGCCAGCAACGGCATCACATTTATCAGTGTTAGAAGATGATGAAACTGAAACTCTCATCTTCTTTTAGACTGAAAACGGTGCCAGTACCCTGTGGGTTGAGTTTCATCTTTACCTGGGCTTGATTACCTTTGAAAGGAGGCCTTTTTTCCTTCTCCCAAAGGTGGGCCTTTGTTAATATGCATGTGAAAACATTACATGCATTGAAAAGTATACAAAGACCTGCAAATCTGCTATCTTGATACGCTGCATATATTACAACATACGGAATTTCATAACAGACATACCATAGTAAATCCTAGGTTTCCAAGATTTGGAATCTGTTTACTTACAATCCTCTTGCCCCTCCCCCACCTCCTTCTCTGAGAGTTGAAAGCTCAATATAGCAGTGTTTGCACGGTTACAGGAATTGTACTACCAAAACTAGTGTCTGAGTTGCTGATAAAAAGTAGTAGGTTGCAGAATCACCTCCTGACTTCATAATGCAAATACTTTTTGAGCCGGGCTTTCTGCAAAGCCCAGGGATTTTGGTCAAGCTGAAGAAATTGGTTTAAAAGCACAGCTCATCCTTTGCACAAATTGCAACAGATAATATTGCATCTGTTTTTAAAATTCACAACCAACCAAAGGTGAAAGATAATATTACCTGCAAATTATCTCAGTTCCATTTTTACAAAGAGGATTCTGGAGAAACCTCCGTTTGCCTGGTAGACCAATAGTTAAAAATGAAGCACCCATCTTTGTCCATGCTGTGAAATTATTAACTTTTACACTTTAAAAAAAAAAAGGTTTTGGTGCTGGTGGTGTTTTTTCAACACATTACCCCACTTCCAAAAAAAGCAATATACAAAGGCTCATTCTATTATTCCACATCAATCCAGACTACCTGGGCACCTTTCTGCTTTGGGCAACAATAGAAGCAGCAATTGCAAGAATGAAATAAACTATTTGAGCGCTGTAGATAAGAAAGGGCAGAACAAAGACATCATATTATTCTTATGCCAAATAGAAACTGAAGGAATTCCAAATCCTTTGGAATTTTGTTGTTGCTGTTTTTATTGCTAACCCTCAGCGTCTTCCTTTTTTCCTCCAATCAATGTATTGCAAAATTCCAGCTTTTTTTTTTTTTTTTTTTTAATCCTTTTGTGGTTTGAAGCCTTGCTTTGCAGGAGCATAAAGATATCAGTCTGCACATCATTCTTTCCCTCTAAATTCCACCATTAAATTGGGACATTCCTTTGTTAGGCAGAGCACACAAAAGGTGTGTTCCTGGAGAAGAGATGAAAAACAAAAGGAAAGCCTTTTTTCAATCTCGTCAACAGAACTTACACACTGACAATGTGATTTGAGCTACAAATATTTTAGCTCAACACTAAGCTAGGCCTAGTCTTTTATAGTGAATGTAATGAAAAATGTATTGGCTTGTTTTTAAAGGAATTATTATATAAATGGCATTATAATTTAAAGATCTGAGTGACCAGCAAATAAATATATATATATATATATTTAATGTCAAAATATAGATAGAATCAAATGGGGGTTTTTTGTTGTTGTAAATTCCAAAAATATACCCTTGAAAGAAATCATCACCAGATTTAAATTATTAGCCTGCCAGAATTAGCCTGAGGGGAGGTCTTGAAAAGGATTCCCCGAATCCTTTGTTAGTGATTTCATAAGCACATTTTCTCTAGCATACTCACCTCCCTTTGCCCGAACCTCAGTTTGGAAATGCCTGCCAAGCTCTTTCATTCAGACACCTGAAGAGGTGGCATTTGGGTTCTGCTCAAAGATAAACTAAGCATATTAAAAATGTTAAGATTTTATTTGAGCAAAAATTCATCCCAATCAGCAGCATCAAATGGGAAGTGGTTAGGAGTATTCTGTCTATCAGAGTCCAGGGAAAGACCCAAAAGGAAATTGTTTGATTGCCTATGGCTTGAAGCTTAGTTGGCCGTTTTATAGCTGGTTGTCCTTAACATTTGATCCTGTAACCTTAAGGCATCTACAGGCCTAGGTTTTGGTTTGTTTATGTAGGCCACTAAGGCATTAGAAACACTTGCATCTAAAGGCCTCCTTGTTTAATTAATTTAACCTCCTGATATCTGAATAACCCCTTAGGTCCTGGTTACTAGGTGGATCCACTAATCTTTATCTCCTACTGTCTCTTTAGGCCTAAATATTGGATCACCCGCCTTACAAAAGGAAAGAAAAGGGAAGGACCCAAGAAAAGTATTGTTTCTATGAACTCTGGAGAATCAGAAAGGATGGGGAATCA